AAAATACAATAAATAATGTATAAATGTTTTTTATTATTGTATACTTTTGATCTAAACATTATATTAAGCTAATTAAGCTTCTTTTTTAAAAAAAAAAATTTTTTTTTTCTTTAGCTGCTTTATTTATTAATTTGCAAAAAGTTTTTCTTTAAAATTTAAAAAGAAGCAAAAGAATTGTTATTTTTTCCATTTGTCAATCTTAACATAATATATTTTTCAACAACAAAAAAAAAAAAAAAAAGAAAAAATATTCCATAACATCAGAGAGAATTAGGAATTTCAACATCCACAAAAAAAATTATGTATTAATTATTACATTTAAAATTTGTAATTTGAAGCAAACGATCTAGAAAGTTTAAAAACTATTTTGTATTACCTATCAATCATATAATGTCAAAAAATTTTTCTGCTAAATAAACTTTTAAAATGTGACTGTAAGTAAAGTAATTTTTTTTTTTTTTTTTATATTTACATTTTGCAATTGTGCAATTTGTAATGAAATAATGCTATTGCAATTTTATCACGTATGTCACGTGCTTATCACTTATACTGATTTACTTATTTCTACGGAAAGGAATGAAATTACGGAACAAATTTTCTGAATTTTCTGAACTAGCAGAAATTTTCTCCTGAAAAATCAAACATTTATTTTAGCAATTAAAATATCAATTATTATTATTATTATTATTATTATTATTATTATTATTATTATTATTATTATCAAACTTATCACTTAGATGATAATAGCTATTATTAATTCTTATCATAATTCTAATTTATTTAACTAATATTTCTAACGATCACTTTCTTATCAATCAATTTCTATCTTTCTTTCCTTTTTTCTTTTTTCTTTTTTTCATAAGTGAAAATTTTATTTCATGTTCAATTGTCACTTTCTATTTCTTTCTACTTCAAAATGTTACTCTTCCATTAGTTTATCATCCATCGATATAATAATAAAATCTCTTTCTCTTTCTCTTTCTCTTTCTCTCTCTCTCTCTCTCTATCTCTATCTCATTTAATTTGATATAGCTATAGAAAAATTTAAACTTAAATTAAAAGGTGAAAAGAGATTGTGTAAGAAAAATTGGAATTAAATTATCTCATTGCAATCCCTGAAGTGCAAAACAGTAAGAGCAAATTTTCAATCATCTTAAAGCAATGACAAATTATATGAAAAAGAGAGGGAGGGAGAGAGAGAGAGAGGGAGAGAGAGAGAGAGAAAAAGAAGATAGTAGAAGAATGGAATTTGCCTAAAGTTAAATCAAATATATACGATTTGAAGTTCAACGCAGAACACACAAAAAAAAAAAAAAAAAAAAACGAAGAAACAAGGCACAAAATGTCATTTGTATTCTTTATTTCATTTTTTGCTCTTTTTAGTGATCATTTAACCCTACGAAAATTGACCATTCAATAAAATAAACTCCCCAAAATATTTAAATAAATCGACAAATGCGTTTTTTATTTTATTTTTTTTTTTTTTCATTTTTCAGTAAAATTTTATCAATTGTTAAATAATCATTGTAAATATATATATATATATATATATATCTAAAGTAATCTTTTTTTTTTTTTAATATATTTTATCAGTTTAATAACAAATAATACCGAAAACATTGATCACAAGAAAAAAAAAAAAAAAGTAAAGTAATTCCGGAAACGATAATATTCATAACCTCTTGCACTTTTGTTTGTTCGTAAATAAATCATTTTTTTTTTTTTCTCTCTCTCCTTCTTTTCAAATAAAGTATAACTTATTTTGAATATCAACAAGGGAATTAAAAATGGAAAATTATCGTTTTTCTTTTTTTTTTTTCTTTTTTTTCCTTTTACATAAATATGTTAAAATTTTCAATAAATATGATAGAATTTGTAGAAATTTACTGAATTTATCAAATTTTATTTTTACTTCTTTTATGCCATCTTTAATTCATTTATTAATTCCTTTTTGTATTCCAAAAAAAAAAAAAAAAAAAAAGAAAACAAAGTCTTCTATACCTTTTAAATCATTCATTACTAAGTCAAACATTAATTTTATAATATTTCAACGGGTTGAAAGTAATTTTCAAATGTGTGTTTAAATTAATAGCTAACTTTCTGTTCCTAACTGCTAGAAAGAAAGAGAAAGAGACTATAAGCGCTATTTGTATTTTTATTCGCAAATAGTTTGTACAATTGGCTTTTTACTTTTTAGGCTTAAATGATTCACTCAGTTAGAAAGCGCAAAATTTACTATTGAAATTATAAAATGACTCATTCATAAGAATAAAATTGACTAAATGATAATTTAATGATAACGAAAACATTTTAGCTTCATAATAATGTAATGCGATAGTGATTCGAAATTCTGAATTGTTGATGAATTAAGCGAAACAGCAATCTTTGCTGAAATAATCTAATCAAAATATCAGTTTAGGAATGTTCCATCCATTTCCGTCAATGATTTTGTAAAGCAAAATTTCTCATCTCATCTCATCTCTTTACAATCTAATCGTTCCTTTTAAATTAATTTCAAATCAATGATCTTTGATTATCTGTTTGAAATATCTTTCAAATTGATTGCATAAAAATGATTCATACATAGAGCAATCAGTATTTAAGAAAAAAAAATTGGTACTGAAAAATGAGAGAAAAAAAAAAAAGAGGAAAAATTTTATGGTATCTAAAAAAAAAAAGTTTATTCATCATTATTATAATGAAGAAAGATATTTATTTCATTGAATGTTTGTATATTCATTTCTATTTCATTAAAATTATTTATAAATAAATTTTTATTATTAATAAATTGATGTCAGTTGAATTTTTTTTTTTTTTTTTTTTTGAAATTTCATACAAACATACGTCACTACTGTGAGTCGGCTGCGCATCTAAACATGCAATAATATTAAAATAATCATTTCAACAAAAAAAAAAAATTGAATTTCAGTATCAATTTAATGATGACTTAATCATTGCTTTCAAAACAATAGTTTAAAATGAATTTTGATCTTACAAAAATTCATTTTGCACCCACCTGTTTCACAATTTCAATATCAATCTTAACTGTATCCTTAAAAAAAAAAAAAAAAATTGAACGAATTCTTTTAGAGAATGTTGAATCATTCAGTGCACTTATACAATCATATAACATATACCTGGCACTGCATTTATAATTTCCATCAGTTGAGAGAGAGAGAGCAGTTCACTCAGTCTTCATCACTTCGTCATCAATTCTTTTTTTTTGAAATTCTAATTTTTCATTTTTTATTTTTGCAAATAATACTTATAAATTATTTGCTTAAATATGGATAAGTCTTTTGCACTTCAAACAATTTATTTTTTTTTTTCTCTTTTCTCTGATCCATTTTGTTAATTTTTGCACTTTTAGATTTATTACATTTCTATTTATCACTTTATCATTTATATCAATAGATTTTTAGCAATTTGAAATTGCTAAAAATTAAGATTAATTAAAAATAGAACATGCATAAATTAGGATTTATTTAACTGAAATTTAGTTTTACAGTAAGTAAATTTAATATTAGTTTAGAAATTTATGAAGCATAAAAGTGATGCGTCCATGCTTGACAGAAGAGAAAAGGAAGAAAAATAAAAAAAAGTTATAATCGGATCATCTCGAGAAAAAAAAAAAAAGGAGAATTTCAACGAGCTTATTCAACTTTCTTCATGAAACTCTCTCTCAAAAAAAAAACTATCTAATTGATATGAGAATTATCTGAATAAAATTATTTTGAAAATTTTTTCATTTTCAGTATTTTTAAAGATTCTTGAATCTTTAAAAATCAATTTTTCTTGACGAAAAAAAAGAAAAAGAAAAGGAAAGAGAACTTTATGCTTATTTTACAATTTTTTTTCACAATACATTATCACATTTTTATTTTTAAAAAAAAAAAAAAAAAAAAAACTTATTCAAACTTTTAAAAGCATTTTTTCTTTTCAATAATTTATCAATTTTTGAATTTGTAATAAAAAAATAATAATAATAATAACAATAACAAAATCATTATGATTGATTGTTATTTTTGTTTTTTATCTTTAATTTTCTCATATAAATATATGAGAAAATTGATTTAACAATAGGAAGAAAAAAAAAATTATTATATTAAAATATGTATATATATAAAAGTATTGATTAATTTTTAGAAAAATAATATTAAAAAAAGCCAGAATTGCATTAAAAACTTTCAACTGTCCCAATTTCAGCTGTTTGATATCATATTTTAGGAAAAGTTGGCAAGAATGGAATAATATAAAGGACAACAAAACAACCCCATTTTCAATTTGTGTACATATATTCGTAATGTCGGCTTCTTCTACATCTTTCTTTCCGTTCTTTTTCATTTTCATTTTCATTTCTCTGAAATAGGCAAAATATAAATTAAGAAATATATATTATATCTACTGTTTTTTAATTATTATTATTATTATTCCATTTGTTCATTATGCATAAAAGTGTTTTCAATATATTATAAATGATGAGTTTATTGTTTTTTAAGATAAAAAAAAAAAGCTTTTATTTTATGAAATATTCTATTCAATGAAACTTCTCTTTCTCTCTCTTTTTTTTTTTTTTTGAAATTAAATCAAATTAGATTAAAAAGTTGTTTTTAATTAAAATCTTTGCATTTTTTTTTCCTTTTTTACATTTAGAAGAAAAAAAAAAACCAAAGTAATGAAGCAAACTTTTTTTTTTTAGGTATTTAGATAAATTTGCATATAATTTGTTACATTTACTATTTCTGTTCAAATATGATAATGATTAGTGGAAATTTTGTCATTTTAATTAATCAATAATTAATTTATGAACTAATTTATATGAATCGTATGATTAAATTTATCATGCTAGAAGATATTTTACTTCCGTTTATCTTTTCTTTTTTCATTTATTTCAGTTATTGGATAAAATTTGAATCAATTTCACATTGATTGGAAAGACCTTTCATCAGCAATTGCATTCACAATTTTAAACTTGTATTGAAAAAAAAGTTCCATTCATAATGGATATATCAGTAAGTCATAGTGGTGCTACATCAACAGCTATCAGTGATACGACTGATTTCTGTGTCGTTTGTGGTGATAAGGCTATCGGTAAGCATTATGGTGCTGTAGCATGTAATGGATGTAAAGGTTTCTTCCGCAGAAGGTATTTCTTTTCTTTATTTTTCAGTTATTTATGCACAAAAATTGAATTATTCATCAAATGTATTCGCATTCTTTATAAACCGATAGTGATACGTCGATAGATACGTCATTATCACTTCACGTGAATTCTTTTGTTTCATCGTGTTGATATTTTGTCATATGGATGATATTTTGCTTTTGATATGTTGAACTTAAAGATTGACATTTTATTTATTTCATTCATTTATTGAAGAATCATTCATAATAAGAATTACATTTACGACATATACGCTTTTTTTTTTTCTTTTCTGATATTTACTTCAGTTCAGTTATTCAATTCTTAAAAATATTGCAATGATTGTGAAATTAATATGCGAGAATTAAAAGTGACCCTCTTAATGGTTTATTAAAAGAATTTTTGTTTGAAAAAATCTTCAAAATTATTGAAGTGGAAAAATCTTGCAATTATTAAATATCACATTAATAGTAATAGTATTTGGTTAAATATAATATCGAATGCTTTTAACATTTACTTCTCAAAATTTTATCTGCTCAAAAGAATTTCAGAATAATTTTATACTCTAAAAATTTCACTTATAATTAGAACCGATCGAAATCATCCATTTCTATTTTTATAAAAATTATTAAAATCAAACTTCGTCTATTATCATTTCAAATGAGAAATACTTATCATCTGATGATACTACTGTAATATTTCATATATTTTAAATTTCATCTGCGCAATATTTCACTCATATCACAATAAATTATCATTTTATAGCGTTTGGCAAAATTTGCAATATACTTGTCGATTCAGTAAACAATGCAACATTGATAAAGATCATCGGAATGCATGCCGATATTGTCGTTTCCAGAAATGTTTAGCAGATGGCATGAAACCGGAAGGTAGAATAATATATATTCAATACTTTTATATGATATTTTCGAATTTTGAACTAATTTAATTTTTAAAATTTATACTTCTTTACAAGTTTTTATCGCTCATTTCTTCCATATATAATACATTATCATAGGTTAAACATAAATTTTAAACCTGTTACAGTACATTTTAGCTGTGTCCCAATGATCAAAATGCATAAATGCTTTTGAAAACAATATTTTTGTCATCAATATATTATTAAATTGAAATTGTTCATTCAGTAAGTTAAAAAAAGGAATATTTGTCATTCAATGTATTGCTTATTTCATTGTGATTTACCTAAAATAGGCGCATTTTGTGTATTGTTAAAAATAGCTTTCTTTTTGAAATTATTTCAAATTTATTTCAATGACAATATTGCAGAATTAGACTAATTGAACTTTGACCTAATCGATCATAGATGTAATGAAAGAAAAAGTGAACAAAAATCAAATTCCTCACTGTTTGATATTTGAAAAGAATTATACTTGGTGAAAAATATATTAATTGTATCATTTATTTTAGCAATCCAGAATGAGCGAGACCGTATCGGTAGCACAAAACGAAGTCGTAAAAGAAGTCTTCCGGCTCATTTACAGCCGACATCAACAAGTGGAGATGGTAACAGTGATTCAGGTAAGTATCATTTCCTGAAAATTCATTCCATTATCACTTAATCACTTGTATGCTCTTATCACTCAAACATTATCATTATGATTAACTTGTAGATGATGCGCCATCTTCCGCACGTCTTGAACGACGTTATAGCGAAGATGAAGCAACGACAGCAGCGTCACGTCGTCTTGTAGAAATGATTGTGGATATTGAAAGTAGACTTCAAGGAAATCAAAATATTAATAATATTCTTGGCGGTGAAGGACAGGAGAATAATTCTCGACAGAGAACTATATCACTAATGATCGGTTGGGCTAATTTGTTGCATCCAATTCCTGAGTTACCATTCGCTGATAAGGTTATTTATCTCACAAACTTTTCCTATCATTCAAACATTGATTTATTTTTTTTTTTTCACCGTTAAATTATTAATTTTTCAAAATTTCAGGTTTTACTACTAAAGCATTGCTCACCAGCATTCTCGCTTCTGCACACTGTTCAGCGTTCACTTTCATCTACTCATATTGTACTTCCTAATGATACAATCCTGACCCTTACACCTTTTCATTATCCCGATCTCGTTGCTATTGTAAGTCGTATCTTGGATGAACTTTTAACCCCTCTTCGTCGTATAAATGTTGAAAAGGCAGAAGTTTCGGCATTAAAAGCTTTGGTATTATTACATCCGGATGTAACTGGTTTAACTATTGTATCACGTGAAAAGTTACGCGAGGCACGTGATGGTGTACTACGTGCCTTATTCACTTATCTTAAACAAATTTTATCACCTGGTGATACTTCGGTACGACTCAGCAATTTACTCCTCATTATACCCTCCTTATATTCAATTGCACAAACACTTGCACAGAACAATCAACTTGGTGTCATTTTCGGTTTAACGGATCAAACTTCTCCGTCAAACAAACATGTCACTTTGATGACGGATTGTATTGATGAGCATCAGGATGTGAAGGAAGATTTGAGCAACCTGTCAAAAGATAACAACAATGTTTTATTCACCAAAACACCAACAATGCTTACTAATCTAATAGCAAGTCAAGCTATTTCCACTCATGATAATCTGCAAACCACAGCAACGATAACAAATCCGGTTGCTCTACCGGTAAGTTTACTTGATTTAACTAATTATGAAGATTATTTGGTGATAGCTTAATGGAACTTTATATCACTTTTTTTTTTTTTCGTTGTATAAACAAAATGATAAATTTGGATATTTCATTGATTTTTCTAACAGAAATGTTGATTAAATTGAAATTAAAATTTTAATTTCCACTGATAAGTGAATTATCTCTATTTGTCAAAATTTCAAAATTGAATATTTTCAAATATATTTTAACATTTTAAAATCTTAGTTTAAAAACAATCTTTCTCTTCAATGATCTTTTTTTTAATAAAATAAAAAAAAAAAAACTAGAAATGATTTAACTAACTTTTTGCGCTTACATATCTTTTCCTCTCACTTACTGAAAAAAAAAAAAAAAAAAAAAAAAAAAAAAACTTGTAGAATTTTTAATTCTTGAAATTGATAAACAGGAAATGACTGATAGCTAATAGTAGAAATTTATTCTAGATAATGTTCAACAAAAAAGGCCTCACAGAAATATGAGAAGGATCAGCTCTTTTGTAGTATATGTTTTGGCCTAATATAAATTTGGCCAACTGTCATTTAAAAAAGATAAGCATTTTTGTGGCACTTGAAATTAGCATCATTCAATTTTTCATTACTGCCAATATTCATCGCATAGCTATCAAAAAAAAAAAGAAAAAGAAAAAATTATTCTCCCGAAAATCATTACTGATATAACTACTGATAAGTTTGATCCACCCACACACAAAAATGATTGATTAATTGCATTTTTATCATTTCAATTTTTTTTTTCGTCATTTTTCTGCAACAACAAATATTATCTTTTTCATCTTGGCTTTATTCATATTACTAATTCTTATGAATTGAAATATTCTATACTTTATTAATTAATTATTATGAATACCTCTTCGTCATTAAACACCTCTCTGTAATGAGACAAAATGAATTTTAACTAACCGTTCAGTATTCTGATTTTAACTGCGATACGAATATTGGAAGAATTCAATATGGTTAATTTTAATTAATCTTTTTTATCTAATAAATTAGAATAAATTAGTTATGCATATTTTTTCAGTAATTTAAATTTTAATACCTTTACTAATAAATAAACTTTTTCAAAAATTTTGAAAGTAGTTTAATTGTGAAATTTTAGAAATTCTTATCTTTTGAATAGTTCATAATGATGAAATGAGAAATTATTTGTTTGCAAAAAAAAATTGTTTTTTGCGATTGCAACGTAGAAATTTCATTATTCATAGCATTTTAACAAATTTTTTTTTTTTGTTTTTTTGGGCAAAGGAGATAATGTCGAGATATCTTCAATGGAATAATCATCGAAATCAAAAAAAAAAAAATTTTTTTTTTTATACAAAAAATAAATAACTTTAATATTATGATAGTAAGATTATCAGTTAAGCGATCGGAATGTATCTATTCGTAGCACTTCATGTGTACTTTTTCTTTTTTTTGTTCGTTTTGCATAAACTATCTGATATCAATTTTTCTCGAAAATATCCTCAAAATTATAATATAAGAAAAAATACAGAAGAAAGAGAATTAAATTCTATCAGAGTAAAATTCCATCAGAAATGACCGAACATAACAAATGAGAGAAAATTGATAGTGTTGTAATTGTTGGTAGTAGTTAATTGTTGGTAGTAGTATCATAAAATGCATTTTCTCGATTTTTTTTTTTTTCGTTTTTTTTATTTTGAATAAAAAATGATTTCAAATTGAGTGCATTCAAGTTTCAAAAACTCTATTCAAAAAAGACTCAAAAATTGTATTCAAATTTGAGAAATTCAAAGAAGAAAATAAACATTGAAATTATGTTAAAATTATGTTCTAGTTAAAATTTTGTTCCATAAAATAACAAATAGATATGATAATTTTTTCAGATTGTACTATTAACTTATTATATTACATTTCATTAATTTCAAAATAATAATTAAAAATTGAAATTAAAGGAAGAGATAAAAAATGCAAGGAGAATTTAAAATTATATAACTATAATAAAGAAATGCTCATTCGTTACATTTCAATATTTAATTATCAATTAATTTCAGCTATTGTCATCATCAACATTACCGTTGCAAATGAAAATGTTTATGACTTAGAAGCAGTTGAAATATTTGAAGAAGACATATCATTATCACTCTAACAAGTTCTCATCAATTTTGGAATATTTATTTATTTCATGTATTCATTAATTTTACACCTCTTATTATAGGCTCTTTTTACATATATTTAGAATGAATAAATTTATTTAAATTGATGAAATTTTCATTTTAAATATTATAGTTAAATTTTAAACTGTATTAAATTTACTTCCACACCTACATTATCAATTTTAGCAAGCAGCAAGGTAAATATTATCATTTGTATCACAACATTTTGTTATCCTATTTTTGATATATTCATATGTAATCAATTCTCCATATGTACCAATTGGCAATTGTAATTTGTTTTCTCAAAAACATTTTAATAATTTCACATTAAAAAAAAAAAAAAAAAAAAAAAAAAAAAAACAAAAAACAAAAAACAAACAAAAAAACAAAGAAGTAATTAATAAACATATCTTCTCATAATCTTTGGAACTCTCTTCTAAAATGATTACAATGATAATTTTACTTTAATTCTCTTTCAGAATTCATCTCTTCCAATTGACAAACTAATTTATTATCATTTTAAATGTAACCAAAATAAAATTAAAGAAATTTCAAATAACTTTGCCGACTATTTCCCATCTAAAAATCATTCGTTATAATGTCGTTTGTTGTTTATTCAATTCACATTTTATCGAAAAGAGCATCTTTTCATTCTTCTTTTAACATCATCATAAGCAAGTTATGATACTCTTTCAATTATGACCTTCTTCTAATCATAACAACTCTTCTCATCTTTTTAAAATCAAAATTTCTTGTTCATGAGAAAAAAAAAAAAAAAAAAAAAAGAAAAACTTACACAGAAAATGAAATCTTTTTATCAAAATAGTACATGATCAGGTTAACAAAAATTCACATAAGCATACGTGAAATATCACGTAAGAAATTGTAGACGTGAAACAAAAAAGCTGTCAAATTATTATTCACACATCTATAATTAACATAAACACCTTACCTTGTTCTTTCATATCTTTTCCATTCTGTAACAGTATAATAACTTTGTATCCCATAATTCACTGACCATTTCTTCCTTTTCTTTTCTTTTTTTTTTTTTTTTTTTCAAATTTTGGCGCTACCTTATTTCGTGGTATATAATTTTTGTTACGTGCAGGAATTTTAACCGATAAATTGTATTCCATTTCCTAATATTTTAACATCCAATATATTTTTATGTTAATTTGAGAAATTATATTTAACAAATGGGATAATTCAATTTTTGTAAAGCTTCTGTAATTCACAATTACTGATATAATTAAGTTAATGACTTAATAGACACATTTGCAATTCGATATTTCTGACCAGTCCAAATAAGACATCTGTTTATGACTGATTCATATGGAGCAGATATTCCCATATTAAATATCATGCAAATCAAATACTTCATCATTTGTTTTCACAACATCACTATTTGGAGGATCGACAGAAGAGCAGGAAGAGCGGAGATAGGTCATTTGAGTAGAAAAAAATGAGGCAAAAAAAAATCCGTGTACTTTTTTAGGGACAAAAATAAATTCATCAATCAATAGCCGATGCTGCATTGTTTAGATGTTGAGAAAAAGAAACATGCTAGTATTGCTCAGTGATAATTTCATGAATAAATCTCGTTTTAAAATTGTAGAAATTTAGAAAGGTCATGGAATATTAGTCATTTTGATTCATTGCAATACAATCATAATGCCTTATTGTGTTTCTCATCAATCAAATATTACAACTGAAAATGATCTCAGATTCTTTTAGAAAAAAAAATTTTCGGAGAGAGAAAAAGAAAAAAAAATATCAGTTTACCGTGTCTAGAAAAGTACAAATTCTATTAGCTTTGAAGGATTTTAAATCCACTGCAAGTAAACTAACAATCTCGTTAATCTATGATCTCATCGATCCTAACTTTTAGTTCTCAATACAGCGCATATCTAGCTCTTCTGATCAGTTAATGAAGTATCAAGTACAGCAATAAATTTCCTTTCTCAAAGAGTTACCGAGTTCTATAATGGTTTTAAACTTAAGCAAGCCAGTTATTAAAATTCTGATATACAAAAGTAGACTAAAAAGAAAACACAAAGTAAAAAAGGGTGGAACGGAAAGCTCGAACATGTTTTAAAAGAAAAAAAAAAATGCTTGAAACCGGAATAACTGCATCACATACAAGTCTGGGAAATCTTGTTTTCACAAACAAAGATAAAATAAAATCCAATTTTAAAAGAAACACCGCTCATAAGCTAGTTTCTGAATATAATAACCATCTGTTTCAAACAATTGATTTTCAGGTTACTTTGCACAAGTTATACAAAAATGAAAGAAGCATATGTTTTTGGCATTATTTTACCCTTTTTTCTCTATTAAGGACTGATTCGAATTCCTTCGGAATCAAATAAAAATCCGACTCATAATAAAATCAACTGACAACAGGTACAATAAAATGTATATATAATAAGTTAGCATACTAATTTGAAAATTCAATTTAATTATAATTAAAAAATTAATTATTTTGTCAAAGACCTCTTCTTATATAAAAGCAAAAGCAAATAAGTGATACAACTTTTGGTAGCTTCAACGTTAAAACCGTAATCTCTTTCAAAATAAATGAAAAGATACACACAGGATTTCACAGAAAATGCTGCGCATAATTCATACCCAAAGCAAATGCATATAACATCGATTCCACATGAACTTCTGTACAAATTAATTCAACATATGGCAAAAGCCTGTCACATTCAACAAGCACGACCTGAAAAAAAAAGCAGTTTAAATTTTTAAATAAATGAATTAATTAATACAGAACTAGAAAAGGTATTAAGAAATGGAAATATTAGTGCATCCCAAACATGCTCTTCAGAAAAAAACTAATGTTTAGTTTCCTCTGTTAAATGCTTCATTATTATCAGTCTGAAATTCTTGATTCATATCTCCTGTTAGGGGAGAAAGCAACTTTCCAAAATATTATATTTAAAAAAAAGGAAAGAAAATAATATACCTCGATAATTTCACCATCATCCAGATTCTGTTTTGGATTTTTATTCTCTGGTGCATTACCGTCAACTTCGACTATCATAAAATTAACGCTTTCATCCGAAAGACCAGGACTTAAGCCTTGCTTACCTTTTGTGCACGATAAAACCTACAAAAGAAATAAACAGAAAGGATGAAGAAAGTTAGAACATGAAGGAATATGATTTTCATCAAAGATTAGCAAAGAAATGATCAGAGAAACCTTTGTAGCGGTATAACCTGTTTCTTCTTTCAATTCACGTAAACCTGCAGCCTCAACAGTTTCTCCTTCATCGATTAAACCTAATTTGAAAACAGGCATATTTAAACTAAAAAAAATTATGGAGTTTAAAAAAACTTGTATATAATTCAGAAATCTGACATTTACTAACAATAATTTGTGCCTCATACTCTTGCTAAAAATATTAGAAAAACTTTACAAAATTCCATCAAAATAAGAAATATAATTTGAAAATCCTTCGCGTTTACGATATTTAAAGAATGCAAAATTAGTTTATTCTAATGATTCAAAATGAAGAGAGAAAAAAAGTTATATTTCCAGAACAGTACTACTATTGTCATTATGTCTTCAAGTCACCACTGCAAAAAAAAAGAAACTATTCAAAATTACTGCATTAACCAGCTGGAAATTCCAAGCACATGCCAGCCATAGGAATTCGATACTGTTTGATGAGAATAAAGTACTTTTTGCCATCTTTATGCAAAGTTGCTAACACATCAACACCATCTGGTTTCGAACTTGGAACAGTTCGGCGGTGAACAGACTCCCAGACCTCCAGTTCATAATTTTATTGGTAGATGTGGAAATTTATTTTACTTAAGAATAAATATACTTTTTCCAACTCGTTTTACCTACAGGAAAAAGGAGCATTTATGCCCAAACAATGACTAAACAAGATAAATTTGATGCAGCATCAAAAAATGACCCTGATAGATTATGAAGTATGTATACATGATTAACTGTAAGAAGTTAAGCTATATTATTTGTCTTCTTTAGCATCCTTTATTTTTCATTCCCCTAATCATATAAATTTGAACAGAAAAAGTAAATTCCAGAACTACCTTATCAGCCCGAAATATGGATGCCTCGCTATAGCTATATTTTTTGATGTTCTTTCATAATTCTAGTTCAACAATTCATCCGATCGATTATATATTTCAGCTTGATCGCATTTAATTAAACTAAGGCAAGAAATTGAATGAAGTGGCTTGAAGAATAAGACTGAGAATGCATTGCAGTTATTTATTAAAATCAAGGTAATGCGATACCTGTTCTGATGAGGAATCAGATTTGCGAAATCGCACTTCACGCATTTTCAACCATTTTCCATCATAGACGAATTTCGGTTGTTCCAATATCTTAAATGGACATCCAGCAAACATATCTAAATTATTCTAAAGACAATTACAGAAAAAATTTGTAAAATAAGCAAAAAAAACTAAATATAAGGATGAAAGATTACAAAACTAAATATAAGGATGAAAGATTACTTATTAAAAGGAAAAAAGAGAAAAAAAAAAAACTACTCAGTTTATTCGTAAGGATGTAATAATGAAATACAGCTATAAACATACTGCTCTACTCATTTAATCTCTAATCAAATTAAAAATTAAAAAAAAATTCAAAAATCTCAATTTGCTCATTGCTCAGTTAATCAATTCATATCAGTTTTTTAAATCGCCCATCAAACATACTCAATTTTTTAAAAGGAAAAGCAAATAAATAAATACATATGTGGTAAATAGTACTATATGACAATAAATGGACAATGCCATTCATCATTATCAGCAATCGTTACACAAATTTCAATCGAAACTTTTCATCAATTATCGATTGAGAAATTATCAAATTAACAAATATTAAAATTTCTAAACTAAAGCAATGAGCTATAAATTTAGTATGAATAGAAATTACAAATATTTTCACTCCAAACTTTCGTCCACTAACTAATTTCTCCCCGAATGTCTCACTATAACCATGTGTGAGAGAGAGAGAGATACTCTCATTCTGTCTAACTCTCAGTATCTAGAACTATTTCATCATTTCTTTAATTTACTTCTCACGTTCTTTCTTATTCCATCATTTTCTATCATTTACTCGATCGCTGCATTACATTCCGTTATATTTTCAATTTGTATCATAAGAGTTCCACTAATCTCCGCAATCTCTTCACACTTTGTATCCTTTAGTCCTATCACTCTCTGCACGATTATTTTGACTATTTGTTATAATATTTTATATTGCTCTCACTCTCTAGCTTTCACTCTTTTACATTATCACTAATAATGAGCCAATACTATCAGACAACTGAGTGGCATTATTAGAAGGCTAAACACTATCCTATTGTTGGGCTGTTGTTGACAAATCTCGTACCCGTGGTCGTGGGTATCTTTCCTGATTTCTAGAGATGGCGGGAATGTTATATACATGATAATTTTATTTTACTGAAGCAGTGGTTTCTGTAATTTTGTTTTTCAAAATTTTAGTATTTTTATTTTTTTAAACGAAGAATTTTTGAACTAATAATTTCACAGAATGTTTTCTATTTTTCGCTGTTATTTTACTAGTTATTATTATCCTGGTATTATTGTTTTTTCTTTTTTTCTGGGATTCTTTATTATGTTTTTGGTTAGAATTGGTATTTGTTTGTGTGGGAATTCTTTTAAGTTTAATTGAGCGTAAGCTGTATTAGTTTTGCAGTTGCGTTTAGTTTCTGTTTATGTTTTCTGTATTTTTTCTATTTGGAATAGTATCTGTTATTGTTACTTTGGAGCCTATTGCAGATAATCGACAGTACAGTAGAACGTGGAAGAATCACTATTTGGCGGTGGAAATGACGGGAACTGAAGCAGTGGAGGAGAAGAAACTTAGCAAAAAGTAAGTAACTTTTTGTTTTAAGAACAATACTTAGTAAAGTGACAGTTATGGTGCCATTCTAAGGTATTGTTGAGACAACAATAGCTGATACCATCTTTACTGTTTGACAAATGATTGCAAACATTGTTCGGCGTGTTCAACTAGATTGTCATGCTGTGTCGCGATCACTATTACGATACGTCAATGGTTCAAGCGTCACGCAGAAACGATGTGAAAGGTATATAACTGTTGAATGTGTCTCAGGTTGGTTTCAGCTAGAGTAGTGAGACTGTTTAGCTGAATATGAGTGAAATTAATGGAAACTAAAGATGAAATTGCCATCTTAGTAACATTTGGTTTATATAGTTCCGTTTACAAATATATTCTCAGTGAACAAAAACGACAGCTGAAAGCACAGCAGAAGCTGAAAGAAAAAGCAGAGAAAGAACTGCAACGTGCTGCAGCTGCGACAGCTGCTACAACAATGGAAAAAGGCAAGCGAGATGAAAAAATGGTGGATCCATCGGACCCACAAGTTAGTTGGTCGTGAATCTTTCCATTTCAGGTTACTGCATATGTTAGTATCTGTTGCATAACTTCAACATTGTTAATAATTTCAAACTTTAATTTTTGTCTTTTTTCTCATCTGCTGCTCCTTTTTGGTTAACTGTTTATAATTGCTGAAAAGTAATTAACTATTGTAATTATAGAGTTCGTGTAAAATCAATTTCCATTCAGTTTAACTGCTCACTGATTTAAAACTTTTGCTATTTTTCAATTATTTGTACTTTAGGAGTATTTCAAACTGCGAACAACTTTGATTAACGAACGTCGAAGTAAAGGCATCAATCCATATCCCCACAAATTTCACGTTTCGATATCTTTAACCGATTTTATCGAAAAGTATGACAGTTTGGAGAAGGATGTCATATTAAATGACAGTATTCAAAGTGTAGCTGGCAAGTGTTCTCTATTGATTTGTTTGTTTGTATTGTTTAATTCATTTTTTTAAATTGTAGTTTTCAGGGCGAATATTTTCAAAACGAGAATCAGGAGGAAAATTAATATTTTATGATCTTCATGGAGAAGGAACGCGTCTACAAGTACTCGCAAATGCTAGGTTCATAATCTAGAAATTATCTGGTAGATTGATATTGATAGGAAATTATTTTTGCTTCTGTAGATTGATTCATAGTTTATAGATTTCACAGTGGCGATGAGTCATTTGACAGTCTTCATGATAGAATCAAGCGGGGAGATATTATTGGTGTGAATGGATATCCAGCAAGGTCTAAATCTGGCGAACTGAGTATTATACCACGAGAGGTGAGTACTGAAGCATCTTCTTTGATCTGAACTGAATTTTATTTTACTTAGGCCAGTTTTTTCTTACTATAATTTATATTGCTTCAGATCGTTCAATTGACTCCATGCTTGCACATGTTGCCACATACACACTTCGGTTTGAAAAATCAAGAGACCAGGTATGTCGTGAAGTTAATCGTGTTTTCTTTGAAATTATATAATTTATATGTTTCAGTGCAAAAATATTATTAATACTGAATGCTCAAAATGTAAATGCGTGGGATTAATTTATGAATTTCTTTCTACTGATTCATGCTGTCTTTAGATTTAAAAATTGGTGTTTTCATGTGTTAAAAAAGTGATTTAAGAGCTTTTTTTAAGCGAATATTTTCGATTAGTTGTTTGAAATCAAATCTGTTGTAGATATCGGATGCGTTATCTGGATTTAATCATGAATACCGATGTCAAGAATAAATTTGTGACTCGGTCGAGGACAATCAGTTTTTTGAGACGTTATCTTGATAACTTAGGTTTCTTGGAGGTAAGCGATCAAATGAAAAAGCATTACAAACTTTCTTTTCCAATATGCAACTGCTCATTTTTTTCATAATTGTTCAGTTTTGCAGATGGTAGATTTTGTGATTAATGGTCAATAATTACGATGATAACTTTGTATTTTTAGGTTGAAACACCCATGATGAATCTTATAGCTGGTGGTGCTACAGCTAAACCATTCATCACACATCACAATGACCTCGATATGGACCTTTATCTTCGAGTTGCACCTGAATTGTATCTGAAAGTACTTCAAAATTTTGGCTTTTAGTTAGCTTCTAATAGTGCCGTCCACAATAAATTCTTTTTTAATGTAAATTGTTATTGAGTTTTTGTTCAAAATATTTTTTTATGATTTACTTATTTCAACTGCAGATGTTGGTGGTCGGTGGCATTGATCGTGTTTATGAAATAGGACGAGTGTTCCGTAATGAAGGGATTGACCAAACTCATAATCCAGAATTTACAACATGCGAATTTTACATGGCTTATGCAGACTATGAGGATTTAATGAAAATTACTGAGGATATGCTTTCGAGTAAAGATTTCTGATATAATTTTTATATTTAATAATCGTAATAATTTTGATAGAGACAAAACATGGCTTACTTCTCTCTTACAGTTTATCCCAGTAGTTGAATGCATGCTGATCAAGAAATCGTCATCTGTAGTAGCCGTTAACAGACTTTATTTTAATAGTATCAACTGTGTTTTGTAGGACTGGTTTATTCTATACATGGAACTTACAAAATTCAATATCACCCGAATGGTATAGGCGAGGAACCCGTATACGAAGTAAGCTTATGAAAGTTTTTCTTCAGTTATATAGTGAGTTAATGGAGTTATCTGATGATCTGATGAATACCTGGCAACTATTCCTTATCATGTGAATTAATTGAGTTAATTGTATGCCAAATTATTAGGTCATGTGCTGACTCGCATTCTTCTATTCTAATACAAGATCAGAGAAATAAGATTTACTAAATATGACTTTATTTCCCAAGGTTGATTTCACTCCACCTTTTCAACGAGTAGATATCTATGATGGATTGCAAGAAAAACTTGGTGTTAAATTCCCTCCAGCTAACACTCTCGACACCGATGGTTTGTTCATAATTCTGCAATTTTATTTCATTTATATCATTTATGCCTTAGTTTTTCTGATTTTCTAAAATTAGATTTACTTTATCATTCCACATTTGCTTCATTTTCAGAAGCAAATAAATTCTTTGATAAGTTAGCAGTTGAAAATAATGTCGAATGTCCAGCTCCACGAACAACAGCAAGATTGCTTGATAAGGTTCTTGTATAATTAAACTGTTTATCTTTTTTTATCACATGTATACAACATGTAATTAAACAATGGGATTTTTGAGAAGTAACTGTGTAACTTATCTTAAAAAGTAAAATCCCTTCAACAAAAATCCTTTCAACATAGATGTCTAGTTATTGTCATACAATTGATTTAATTAATTTTATATTGTGCTAGTTCCATAGTTACTTCAATTTGAATAATATCAATTATCTTCATAAGTTTTTTTTTCCTTTTTTTTTTCTTTATTTTGGAGTTAGTAATTGATGTACGGTTCTTGTTGTTTCGTTTCAAATCCAGGGAATTGTCTTCATGCTTTATTAAACTTTTACTGTTGCAACACCCTGATGAAATTTCAGATCTGCATTGCATGATAGCGAAATCGGAAACATTTCCGCTTCCCTGTATTAAGAAATTATTTTAGTTAATCGGTGAATTCTTGGAACCAACATTTATATCGCCAACTTTTCTCACCGGACATCCACAGCTAATGTCGCCCTTAGCAAAATGGCACCGTTCGATGCCTGGCCTAACAGAAAGATTCGAATTGTTCGTAGTCACCAAAGAGATCGTTAACGCTTATACGGAATTGAATGATCCACTGACACAACGGCTTCGTTTCGAAGAACAAGCAGAGGTGCCATTTTTTGATTATTCTATTCTTTTAGAATTATTCTTTTTACATAGGTGGTTTTTTTACTATTGATTATTTTTTTCTAATTTTTGCATAACTATTTTTTAATTTCCTTTTTAATTTGTTTTTCATTTTGTCATTAAAATTATGCTTGATTTGCTAAGTATTCCTCTTAAAAGAATATTTTGGATATTGGGCAAAAGCGCTGAAATGTGTCATGAGTAATGTGAATGCAAATCACGAGGAAAAAGAACTACCACCTGATAATCTTTTTTAAATGCAGTATCTTGTTTGCAGCAAAAGCAAGCAGGTGATGACGAAGCACAAATTATCGATGAAAATTTTTGTACCGCATTGGAGTACGGTTTACCACCAACTGCTGGATGGGGTATTGGTATTGATCGTCTGACTATGATCTTAACTGACAGCAATAATATCAAAGTATGTTAGTCTATTTTTAATCGTTAATAAATTCTTTGCAAAATTAAGCGCGTAACTAATGGGTTCAGATGTGCACTCGTTTGATCTTGGCTTGCAATTTAAAGCATAGTAAAAGGAGTTTGTTTTGTAATCCTATTAAGATGGAAAATTAATTTAAGCTTTTCAAATCGGAATTAAGAAGGAAACTGGTTAATTCTCATTCTTTGTAAAAAAAAAAAAAACTACCTTCCAAGTGTTTCGGTCCAAAATATTTGAATGAAATGGAAAGTGTTCATTGTACACGGAGTGAAGAAAAAAGAAAAGTGAGATTTTGAGTGAAGCCTGAAATTCGGGATTTCATGAAAATGTATGTGCTTATAGGAAGTGTTGTTCTTCCCAGCAATGCGGCCTGATGAAAAGACTACAAATCTTTCAAACGAAGGAGGTAATGCGTAATGTGACGGTGAAATCTATATTTTATTTATTCTTAAAGCATTACTTTTACTTTAACAAAAAGAACTAGAGAATTCGTATATAACTAGTACATGCTGCAAAATCCTCAATTGTTGATCCTTTGCGAACGGTACTAAATAAGGTGCTGAAGTATCCGAGCACAACTGCACCATGTTCCATCTGTCATGATAAGTCTGGCTGATATATGTATGAACAGTCGCAGCTAATAAGAGAGTTTTAGAATTTGTTAAATTTCATTATTTTAATGAAAAAAAAAAAGATCAAATCAAGAGGAATTGAAAACTCAGCTGTTTCCCGGTATTATGACTTTACTTCGGCAAATACCGATTTAGTTTAATGCTTTAATACGCTAACTTCCTGCTGTTTGTTGTTGAATTTTTATTTTTAATCAAATAAGGTATCTGAATTTCTTTCTTGTTACAATTTTCTCATTCTGCTTTTTATTGACTTAAGCACTGTTGTTATTCACTTTATTGCAAAACATTTGATGGTTTGTTTAATAAACGCAAGTGAACAGATAATAAAGGATTGCTTGTTGTCTTCTTGGAAACAAAGCAGAATAATGAGTAATAAATTTCAATAGCTCTTATATTTCTTCTTTAAAAAACCATAAAATCATATTTTAAAGGAAATGGTAGACTAAAATGCATTTAATACGACCTTCTTCCTGAAAGCAACTGTTAATTGTATTTAGTATCATCATATATAGTAAGGTCGAGAACTTTCTCTCTCAATTATGGATATGAAATAAACAAAATTGTAAATACCAAGAATTTCAAAATTATTTCATACTAAACATATTAAAGTGCTCCTGTAAACAGAGTTTCAACACACAACAAAATGGTATTTTATATCATTCAAAAAAGGAAATTTAATGATGCAAAATATTTGGTTCCTTAACTATGTCATCAAACTATCGTTATATAATATGGTCGATATCTATTGTATTATAATCCGATTTTCTATTCAAAACAAAAACAAAAAAATTTGAACTCCTTTGTCGATAGTTCGGATTGCAATAAACTCATTTTCACTGGCACTGATCTTTCGTCCATTGATACTTCCCAACTCAATCTTCTATTAACTTTGAGTTTCAGATACTAACTTTACATCAACTGCCGATCCTGCTGAACGTTTCAAACATACCAGAGTAATGTTTGCGGAATTGATATGCCTGACAAGAACACCACATGACTCGAATACCGTCATCTTATTGAAAGATTTGGAAAAATAATCCTCAAAATTTTTCAAACATATTTTAATACAATATAAAAGACGGAATGTCTCAAATGCATTTTGGAATGATTACTTGAATAAAATTCTCAGAAAGAGTAAGTCACTTAATATTCCACAACATATGGAATAACAATATATTACATGGAAGTTTGCTTAACATTCACAATGAAAATATCAAAGCTGTTAAATTATTCCATACTAAACACATCAAAATGTTAATGAAATTAACGTAACTAAACTTAAGATGAAGCTGAGATGCATAATTATGGTAAAGGACGAAAGCATCAACATTTAAAAAAACTTTAAAACTGTAAAAATTTTAAAATCAAAACTTTAAACCACAAATCTATAATAATATTATTACAAAACAAGCTGAAATGTTTATAATACAGAAAATTAGAGTAATTTAAACAAATCAGTCAACAACTTCGATATTCAACCTGCGATAATAAAAAATCAAATCTCATTCAGTACAACAACAGACAAAACAGAACTCAAAACTTTGGCAATCTAGAAGAACATGAGTAACAATGAAAACTGAATTCTTAACGGAACACATCTCGCAATTCTTAGCTCATAAAGCTAAATACATTTACAATACAATTTCAAATTCTTTCCACTACAAGTTTTTAGTTTTAATGCAGTTTTTTTTTCTTTTTTTATTCGATTAGAAGATTATGAAAAGAAAGAATCGTTGAATTTAATTTCTTGGAAAAAAATATCCAAATTCGGCAATCAATTTCTCAAAATTGTTAATTTTGTATCGAATTATGATTAGGATATGGTTGACAAAGCAGGAAACGGATTCTGTTTGCTAATAACCAGTTTCTTATGCATATGACTGAGATATCCTTTGATTTTTTTCTGAAAGATATAAAACAAACATTAGTGATTTAGCAGACGACTTGAAAAAATTAAAATCAATTCTTCCAAAAGTTTCTAACAATTAACCATATGCTGCTGTCTTTTATAAAAAAGTTCAAATCACGGGATCACTAAACAAGAACCAAATCTTCAAGACATTGACATAATAGCAAAGTTATTGCAAAAGACTGAACTCACCTCCACAATCAAATTTGCAAGTATGCATTCTAACTCGTCTTCATCCATGTCCTCAATGCCAAGCCATCGGATGGCACACATAAATGCCTCATAAGAGATCTGATTTGTTCCATATATTCGAGTACTATAAAAAAACCACAGAGATTAATAAAGTGACGAAATTTATTATGCAAGTCCCTTATAACATTTAATCGCTCAAGTTAAAAAATTTGAGTTAATAGCTATCAGCACTGGATTAAAGTAAATAGTATGATTCAAAATAAAAATAGAGTCAAACTAACACTTTTTTGAACAAATTACGAAATGCAATAATTTTCAATTTTTCCAACATAAGAAATATTCCACATTCGACAAAAAAGCGCTCATTTTCCATCAACGTTTCATCGAGCTTTTTTAAATTTCCATCTCTTAAATTCGATTAAAACTCGTAAGACAACAAAAAGTTTAAATAGGAAGAAAGTGTATTCAAAGATTCAAACATTACTGTTAACTAGTAGAACTTACTTGACACTTTCAACAACAGCACCAAACTGCTGCAATTGATATCGCTTTAATAACTCAACGCTTGGCATATGTCCGAGAAACATTTTTACCGGCACCAAATAAATCAATATAAGCCTTTTATTTCTTGCACAGTAAGATGGACAGTTCCGAAAAGCATACGATAACGATTCTTCTGCTAGAACATCACAATTATTTAAGAAACTATAAAAACAAAAGGCTAGGTTTCACAAAACTTGTATTTTTACCTGCAATCAGCAAGCTAGGTAGCGGTAAATTAGTAACCAACTTTCTTGAAGTTTTATCAAGTAGATCATGAAAACTTTCTCGTATTTTGCCAAAATTTAAAACCAGAAAAATGCATTCATGCTTTCCGAATTTATTTTTTTCTTACCACTAAAGCAAAGCAAAAAAATAAAAAATAAAAAAAAAACCACATACATATTGATAAATCTGAATCAAACATTGCTTTCCGTCCCAAATAATACTTATACGTAACTTTATCAGCCATTGAAAATGTCTGATATAATGGACCACTGTTGTCAATTGCTCTAATAAGTGGTTTAAGTAGATTCAATTTGTTTATCTAAAAACATATTTAACTAAATAAAATGTTTCTTTTAAATCGAACGAATTAAAATAATAGTTTGCAGTCTGTACCCTTAATTCTATTCAACATCAATGTATAGCCTTTGACGCGCATAGAGACATAAAGTGATTTGATAATGCAGGCAAGAAATCAAACAAGATTCAACTAGTTTCGAAAGAAACAAAAACCGACTGGACATACTCTGAAATAAATTCGGAACAGTTGATTAGTGAGATTAAGCATTGCCATCTTCTTTGATGTATGAATTTCTGCCCTCCTGGAATTAACAATTTGATGGAAAACTTCGAAAACAATTCCTTCAAAAAATGATTTGGACAAGTGTTCAATTCCACACTAGTTAAAGGACTCATTTGAATAAATTAATTGCACGTTATATATATATTGCTTCTTTTTTTCGTGAACTGGACATTGTGAAGTGAATTCCAAGGGCTTCTAGAGAGGTGTGCATGCTAAACTCGTACGATGGCAGATTTAAGATATGTATATATTGTATATTATATTATATTACAGAAACATATTACAAAAACTTTTTAAATATATTTCGAGTGCTTATTTTTCCAGATTCATTATGCTGACCATCATTTAAAAAATGATAGCGAAATGAAAAATAAGAATTAAAAGAGACTCACACATCAGCAACACATGTTCGATAGCATTCCATAATATAGGTGGCAGATTGTTCATAGCAGCTACTCTTTTCCGGATCACGCAACCGAGATGGTTTATTGTCAGCCTAAATCTTCGCAATTCCAATACCGGTAGCTTAATGACATGTTTGTTCAATATGAAATGCAAGCTTTGAACATACCGAACGAGCCAAAAGTCGCAAATCAGTGCAGAGAGTATATAATATTGGTAAAAACCAGTTCTGATCCTTCTCCTTTTGCAAAATTTCTTTGTTGAATAACTGTATAACCTGCAGAAAAAAACAAACAATTTTAGAGTTTTTATCTTATGTTTTCTGCAATAATTTACAATTTTATATCGGTCAAATCATAAAAAAGAACAATATGCATAAATGAGGGAGATTTTTTGGAGATATTCAGAAGTCTATAAAACGTTACTGTTTTCCTTCAAAAATTTTAATCATCAAGGAATTAAAAATGCTGAAGAATAAGGAAAAAAAAGAATCTAAGTCAACCTGAACATGCGTGTTGAAGGCATTTTCAAAGTGTTCTTTACTCAAATGATAGATAACAGCCAAATGTAAGCATGCTATTTCATCGAAGCTGCTATTCAGATACAATCGACGTTCATCTTCTGCTTTCTCTAACTAAAAATAATCCTTAGAGTATGACTGCTCAATCACACACTGCAGTTTATTTCAAATTCTACCACAATTTAATTAAAGAGAATATTCACTACCATAATACTACTTCACCTGTCATAAAATTTAACTTCAGTTTCATGAGAGTAATCCTTATCAGTAGTGCCGCTAGAAAGATTTAAGTATGGCATTGAAAAGTTCACCTGCAGAAATTTCATATGTACATGAGAGTCACTTATGGAAAGTAATTTCGCAGCTTCTTCAGATAGTTCCCAATTTTCAGCTGACAATAAATCATTGAGCTTTCTGAAATAGTCATTTAAACTCCGTAACGGCGACCCCATCCTGAAAACTGAACTTGTTCATTATATTCCTATACAGTACACGTGCAACACACGCACACGTCACCGAGTAAAAACGTAAGCAACGCACGGCTTAAGTTCAGTTTACTGGATGTTCCGTATGAGTACAATGGAGGAACTGAGGCGATTTGCTAACTTTGTGTTAGATAGTGAGGAAATTTAAGAAGACGCATACTGGAAAGAGAGATTGATGAAGTGAGAATAGCACTGATTAAGAAGGGACAATCGAGAAGAATGTCACGAAATATCAAGCACGTATGAAAGAGGGCGGAGAAAAAAGTGATAATATATTGCTAATTCATATCAAATATCATTTTCTTCGAAATGAGCCTAGTACGGTTAGCCTGGTGACTGGGCTGCTGTAGTATTGGGAATGGGTTATGTTGTACTTATAATTAGCTATTAAATGTTTGAATTAAAAAATAACTAATATAGGCTTTAGAAACGAATCAAAACTCACTTTCAGTATTAGGATTAAGTTTCACATTTATTTCATTTGGAATATACGTATTATTCTATCTATAGTTTAAGCACAATTGAAATGTAATTAAAAACAAAACGAATTATTGAAATTAATAGGTATGATTGTATAACTAAGTGTTGTTGAATTATCAGTGGTCAATAAGATGAATGATGATAACTGGTTGCTTTAAGAAAAAAAAATATTCTTACAGTGATATCTGTTGAATATATTACCAGTGCATCACTATGCGTTTTATTTTTAATCTGTGATATATGTAACGGTGATAATTTCATGAAGCTTTTATCTTATCATAATTGTTACATGTATAATTGCAAGAAAATTTTTACTATGCAGTATAAGTGTTATATTTTTAAGAAGTGTGTGACGATCAATTTGATGTTTTGTTCTTTCGAATGGATTTCAGTAAACAGGAAAAAGATTATAATAGAAGAAATGAATGGGATTGCTATCGACGAACAACTTTTGGTTTTAATCGTGAAGAAATTGGTGAGGACAGGTAAAATGTGGATGATCTTGCGGCACTTGATAGCAGTAATGTTGCTGTATATAGTGCTGCTAAGCTTGAACAAGGCCTACTGCAACAGACAAAGTAATTTTTCTCTTTGAGTAATTTCTGATTAGCTTAACTTCATATGATATATAATTATATGAGCGTCAAAATATGAAAAAAAATTTCTTTGTTATACATTGACTACAATAAATTTTAAGAGAAATTACTTTAAAGTAAAATTTTCGTATTCTATTTTTTCTGTCTTTGGAAAGATTTTTCTTAATATTTGCAGCGGTAGTTGAGGCACTTTAATGAATGATCTACTAAATTAAACAAGTCCCTTTGAAATGAAATAAGTGAGCAAATTAAGCTGATAACATTATTGTTTCTATTCATATAAATTAATACGAGACTTTGCTTATCCTGTGCTATTTCCTTTTATAATAATGTGTATTTTTGCTCTTGATTTCTAGGTTGAAAAGACATTTACTGAAAATGTTGCTGCCTTGGAAACCGGAGTGTCACAGAATGCAAATCCAGAAGGATTGCAGAATTTTATAGTTTATTTTTGCATAAGTTCGTTATGCTCTACCAGCAAAGCGAGAAGTAAGTCATAGAAGGTTCTGAATTTTTGATCTGATCAGTTTTTGATATCTTTCATTGCTGCCAGTATTGCAAATATGCTTCCTTGGAGAACGGTGAGCTGAGTTTTCCGCTCCCCTCTCCCTCTCCTCTCCCCTTTCTCCCTCCTTTTCTCTCTCCCTCCTCTTTTCCTCTCTCCTCCCTCCTGCCCTCCCCTTCCCTCCTCTCCGTCCTGTCCTCTCTCCCTCTTCTTCCTGCCAACTTCTCCTTCATACCTTTGCTTTACGTTTTTCTATTGAAAACTAGCAAATAATAGTGAGGATAAATCCGACAAACTTAATTACTGCGTGATGGAACTTTGGCACTTAGCATAGGAAAACTAACATTCTTTTAAGTATATTTTAATTTTAGTAGAAGAGGGAAGAGAGGAGAGGAGAAGGGAGCGGAGGAGGAGAGGAGAGCGGAAAACTTAGCTCACCGTTCTCCAAGGAAGCATGTTTGCAATACTGGCAGCAAGCAATGAAAGATATCAAAAACTGACCGGATCAAAAATCCAGAACCTTCTATGACTTACTTCTCGCTTTGCAGGTAGAGCATAACGAACTTATGCAAAAATAAACCTTTTTACACCATTAGTGTGATAATACTTGTTATTATGTTATCAAATCACTATTAAACATATAAATGATATTTCCATTTTCGCTTCTGATAAACTCAATTAGTACTACTGGCACTAAACAAGTATTATCACATTAATGGTGTAAAAAGGTTTATTTTTGCATAAGTTCGTTATACTCTACCTGCAAAGCGAGAAGTAAGTCATAGAAGGTTCTAGATTTTTAATCTGGTCAGTTTTTGATATCTTTCATTGTTTGCTGCCAGTATTGCAAACATGCTTCCTTGGAGAACGGTGAGCTGAGTTTCCCGCTCTCCTCTCCTCCTCCGCTCCCTTCTCCTCTCCTCTTCTCTCCTCTCCTCTCTTCCCTCTTCTACTAAAATTAAAATATACTTAAAAGAATGTTAGTTTTCCTATGTTAAGTGCCAAACTTCCATCACGCAGTAATTAAGTTTGTCGGATTTATCCTCACTATTATTTGCTAGTTTTGAATAGAAAAACGTAAAGCAAAGGTATGAAGGAGAAGTTGGCAGGAAGAAGAGGGAGAGAGGACAGGAGGGAGAGGAGGGCAGGAGGGGGGAGAGAGGAAAAGAGGAGGGAGTAAGAAAAGGAGGGAGAAAGGGGAGAAGAGAGAGAGAGGGGAGGGGAGAAGGAGAGGGGAGCGGAAAACTCAGCTCACCGTTCTCCAAGGAAGCATGTTTGCAATACTGGCAGCAAACAATGAAAGATATCAAAAACTGATCAGATCAAAAATCCAGAACCTTCTATGACTTACTTCTCGCTTTGCAGGTAGAGCATAACGAACTTATGCAAAAATAAACCTTTTTACACCATTAATGTGATAATACTTGTTTAGTGTCAGTAGCACTAATTGAGTTTATCAGAAGCGAAAATGGAAATATCATTTATATGTTTAATAGTGATTTGATAATTTGGTAATAGTGATACTGGCAGCAAACAATGAAAGATATCAAAAACTGACCAGATCAAAAATCCAGAATCTTCTATGACTTACTTCTCGCTTTGCAGGTAGAGTATAACGAACTTATGCAAAAATAAACCTTTTTACACCATTAATGTGATAATACTTGTTTAGTGCCAGTGGCACTAATTGAGTTTATCAGAAGCGAAAATGGAGATATCATTTATATGTTTAATAGTGATTTGATAATTTGGTAATTTAATTTATCAAACTTTCTCATTCATTTCAAAATTTGTTTTTGTTTTAAGTTAGAAAGAAATATTACCAAACAGATAGGAAAACTGTAAGAGTTGAAATTTGTCAAATCCTCAATTGGAGAAAAGATTTTTTTGTTTTGTTTCGATAGTACATGAGTGATATTGGTGGTGGATAGAATTAAACAGAATGAAATGATATGGTTTTCTTTTTTTTTAAAAAACAAAAACAATGAATTGCTTAAATCTTTTCAATATAACTATTGCGATATTCCATCTCCCTCCTGTCCTCTCTCCCCTCTTCTCCTCCCTCTCCTGTCTTCTTTATCGCTCCCCTCTCCCTCTTTTTCCCTCCTCGCCCTCTTTCCCCTCTCTCTCTCTCTCCTGTCCTTCAGGCACTTCAGGCGATCTGTCATAGAAATTTTAGTATAATTGAGCTTTCAACGCATAATGGCTAACTATATTGTTCTTTACTGTTCCGCGAGAGAGATTGAAAAAGTTGAATTATATGCTCAAGTCCGGGAGGGTGCTGCATTGATGCTAATATGCAATATAATGACTGTTTCAGGACGATTATGAACTTGGGAAATTGCTAACAAATGCGGGGATTATCTCAGCTCTCCAACATGATCAAATTTTTGCAACTTTTTGGCAAATGTGGATGAGCAGCTAATTGAAGATGGAGCAAATATTGTCGCTGCAAAAGCTGCTGGATCACTAAGACGCTCGAGAAGGTTTCATTTACTAAATATATTATTCAAAAATTTTTAAAAAAGTGGGATTTTTCAATCTGATCATTTATATTCAGTATGTTTTCAATTTGATCATTTATATTCAGGACCTTTCGAAAAACCACGGTTCGGTTTGCGGAAAGCTGCTGGATTTCAATCAGCTATTGAAAACGATCAGGATGATACAGAGAAATCGAGTTTTAGTGGCGCAGCACTATTAAAGTACAATTTCTTTTGCGAGCTGTAGTCTAGTTTAATTTCTTCATGTCAGATTTTGAATAGTGGAAGTCGGCAATTTGGACTACGGAAAAAATCACTATAGATTCGTTGCAAATTTTTTGCTTTTAATTGACGCTTCACTGTTCAATCGAGACATAGTTTTTCTTATACTCAGCGAAAATAATGGATATAACAGTGGTGGATGCTATTCGTTAGAGGAAACAACGTATGTTGGATATCCAAAAAACAACCGATGAGGAACATTTGGAAGAAGTTTACTTGCAAATTCTTCAATCGTGCTTATTTTTTCCCCTTTCTTTCTTGTAATTTTGCACTATCCTTCATTTTTCAATCCAGCTAAGGCATCATATGTGAAAAAAGCGGACAAATATGACAAATTGGCAGAAGATATTCCTTTATTTATGGTTCATAGGAAAGGACAAGCGTTGAAAGATGAAATTTTGCAGAGTTTTAAGGTAGCAAAGTATCATTTCTATCAAATCAGATTCATATATTTTTCCAAAATTTTTTAAGACTTCGAAAATTTGATGTGAATTCAGTGCATTTTCACGAATGAGAGCTTTATTTTTTTCAGAATCATGTATCAGTTAAAGACTCGTTTGCATTTCGATCCATTTTAAAGCGTTTGTGTATATTGCACAAAAACTCAAACTTATGGGTACTTAGGGATGAATATCAATAATATATAGTTAAATATAGGTTTATATGTCTTATTTTTTGTTGTTCACAAATTTTAACTTTTACTTTCTGAGAATTTATTTTACTTTTGCTTTCTGAGAATTTATTTTACATTTATTTTACGTTTGATGAGATTTGCAAATTCAGAATTATGGCTGAGTAGTTTAACAAGGTGGGACTAATAATTATTTGGATTCGGTACTTATCTTCTTTCATAGTAATAACTGGAATTTAGTTGCATTAGTGGCTTTGTATCTTTTCTATTTTTTGAGAAGTTGAAAATATACTAATTGATTCTCTATATATAAACCCGGTATGTCACAATCTCATGAATAAATCATTTAAAATTATATTGTTTCGTTAGAAAACACCGATACCGTTGACCGTTATTACACCATTGCGGTGTCAGTTAGGTTATTATGTTGTATTTTATGATGATTTTATTCTTACTTTTGTATATATTGTAATTTATGCTCTAAAATCAAGAAAAATCAAATGTCTGATCATCTTATTCCATAGATTCTCATTATTTGTGTTATATTATATTTTATTCTACTTTGTTTCAACCATTTCGTTTCATTTTGAATTACATTTCGATATTATAAATATAATTCTAATAATTTCAAAATAAAAACACATATCTCTTTTAAAAAACTACAATAAAATCTGGAATATCGCAATAGTTACATTGAAAAGATTTAAGCAATTCATCGTTTTTGTTTAAAAAAAAAAAAGAAAACCATATCATTTCATTCTGTTCAATTCTATCCTCCATCACTATCACTCATTTACTATCGAAACAAAACAAAAAAAAAAATCTTTTCTCCAATTGAGGATTTGACAAATTTCAACTCTTACAGTTTTCCTATCTGTTTGGTAATATTTCTTTCTAACTTAAAACAAAAACAAATCTTGAAATGAATGAGAAAGTTTGATAAAGAGGTAAGATAACCATTTAAATAAATGAAAATGACTACAATACGATGTCAAAAATGTGTACGTATGGTAAAAAAAAATTTTCAAAATCTCGCACTTCACTGATAAATTGCCAATTTCAACAATTTGATTATCTCCTGTAATGGAAAATATGAAAACTTAATTTGTATTGATCAAACGATCACTCAATCAGTCAATTATTGATTGTTTCCACCAATGAATTTCATTACAAAATATATTTACACAGCACATTACACTCCATATAATCAATATTATCAGTTTGATAGTATCTTAGGAAAGCTTTCTATTAAATTACTAAATTATTATATTACTATTAAACACATAAATGCTATAAATGCCATCTTCGCTTCTATCATTTTGCGCTGATATATGTCACTTCTGTGTCACCTTATTTAACCTGAAAATTATCATTAAACATTTAAACTGGAACAGATAATTACTAGTTATTATATTGCCAAAAAAGACAAAAAAATAAAATAAAAAACATCTGATAGTGCTAGTAAATTAGATTCGTTAGTCTTTTTCATTTTTAAAATTAAAAGAAAAAAAAAAATCTAAAGCATAACAAAGAATTGAAATCAATAATGTAATCATTTCTTTTTTCTTTTTTTTTTACTTTTCATCAAGATTATTTTAAACAGTTTTTTTTTTTTCTGACAGTGTACTTTAAAATCTTCCATTGATGACAAAACATAAAAAAAAAAATGAATAAATTTTACTTTTGTTGAAGATGTTTTTAGCAAATATTTTAGAAATTTGATATTGAAAATCATAAATAAATTTGATATTGAAAAATCATAAATAAAATTCGATATCAAAAAGTCATAAATAAAATTTATTATTGAATTTTTGAATATAAAATGAGAACTTTCTTAATATTTACAATATAGTATCATAACAACTTACAAAATCATTTCATCATGTGACATTGCTCTGTCACATGAATTACTGTTGTTGTGATAGAGTAAAAAGCAAGTAATTATTTCAATTTTGATTTAAAATATGATCATAGCATGATTCTTGTAATGGATTACGGTAGACTGTACCATGATTTTGCTGTAACATGTGATTGTAACTTTTGTAATAGCATTAATTTCATAAATTAAATTAAAATTAATAGAATGTGTAAATTATCATTTTATTTTTTATCAATTCTTTTTAATCAATTTACCAATTTTGGTGTATGACAAGATTTATTCAGTTCAATGACAATTTTATCATTCTTATCAGTGGATGCTATCGCTGGCCGAGTTATGATACTATGGTTACGTTCGTTACACCAAGCAAATCGTCGTTTTCTTGCAGTAAAATGTTGTAGAAATGGTAATGATACCATATATGGATCTAATCTAAAATCTAGAAAGTTAGATTTTATTCATTTTTTGAAATTATATTTTATTTTCTCATTTTAATATTATTCTAATTCTTGAATATAATGCATTCGAAAATTTAATTATTACATCTCTTTTTTTTTTTTTTTAACTTGAAATTTTATGGAATAAATAAAGGTATAGTTGCTCATTGCAAATATATAAATTTATAGGAAATATTTTAATTTTTTTTTTCGTGAAACGTATTAAGCGTTTGAATATAACAAACGTAAGATTATTGAAATTGTGACGTGTAGCACTAAAAGCTATCACGTTTCATGATATTTGATGAAATGTAAATTCATTGAAATCGTACATTTGCGTAAAAAAACTTTCGACAACAATTGTTTGAGAAACTTTACGACTTGTTGTTGATAACGATTTTCTGTTAGTGAAATTAAGGGAAAATAGAGATCGGAATGCTCGACGAAAATTTTCGGCATTGGCTGCATATAATAATGGATTTAGAGCACAATTGATATACGGAAAGAGATGGATGACATTAACAATAAGACGATTGAAACGTGTATGTATCCGGAATTGAAATACGGAACTGAGCAAATTAAATAACCAAAATGGAGACCTAAAAATTTATTCAATATCATGAAAAGGACATTTAATTCAATTAGTTTACATGCAGAAACATAAATATTATGATTTGATAGTTAGTAATTAATAATTGCTAGTGCTATAAATGAAATTAAATGTCTTTAATTCAGTAAGTTATTTTAAATAAAATTATTAACAGAGATAAATGAGCAAAGATAAGTAAAAATTAGAGATTTAGTTGTAAAAAAAAAAAAAAAAAGAAAAAGAAAAAGCAAATTTAGATTGCAAAATTAATGAGAAAGAAAAATAAACTAAAAATATTCAAACTGAAATATTCTATGAAATTAATTAGCTTAGCTATTCAAATTAATAGAACAAATTTAATCCTTCCGTAAAAATATATTGAAAATTAACAAGAACTAAGCAAAATAAAAAAAAAAAAAAGAAAGAACCCATACTGAATTGCTAGTATATATTTTAATGATGCTTGGATAATTAAGATTGCACTTTTTCATTCGATCTTCTTGAATACCTCAGAATTAATTACTTATTCTTAAGAAACAAATAAGAATAGAATAAGTAAGTAATTAATTTTTTTTTTCATGTCTTACTATAAATCTAAACAAACAAGAAAACTTCAATGATAAATTTTGCAAATAGATAAACTCAGAAATGCATGCTTCTTGCATATAAATTCTTTTGAGCATCAAAAGATTTGAGATTTAAGAGTGTTAAGAAATTCTTATATTTTTAAATTTGATTTTGATTAAATCACTGATGAACTCACCAGCATACAGCATGAAATATAACAACGCATAGCACCAGACGTGTTACACGATGATAAGGAGCACGTGATTTTGACGTAAGCTTCATTCGTTTACTGTTACGAAGAGCTTTTCGGAGCTTTTTCAAAACATTATAATTAAAATAAGTCATTAGTGCTAAAGGTGCAGCATAGATTAAAATTGATGAAAATGTAATATACCTGAAAAAAAAATCCTATTTTCTTGCTTAATTTAATTTGTTAGATTGCTCATTAAAAATTTGACATTAAAAATTGTTATCAAATTTTGAATTAATTTTAAATTCTCTAACTTTCAGTTAAATGATTTAATTTCATGTATTAAATAAACAAAACAAACAAACAAATAAACAAACCATCGAGCACTTGTTAAACTTGGCCATTTAGCAATACATACAGATCTATTTAATTCTTCCGTACGATATGTTTGTAGTTCGATTACTTCAGAATATAAATAAAGTGGAAGAGCAGCAGAAAAGGCGACAATCCAAGCGATAACACTTGTTGACACCGCGATGCAGTAATTACGATAGCGCGCACATAGCATCGGACAACACATTGCGCAGTAACGATCGGCGGCTAATAATACCACAAATATGACACTTGCATATTTACCTAAAATTGTATTTTATATTTAAAAAAAGGGAATAG